GTTGATTTACAAAAAAAATAGAAAGTGATAAATATCCTTTCCATCATTTCAAAGCTTACATACATCGTCACCCTTATGTTTTATTCCCTTCCAAGCCTATTGTGTTTGATCTCACATTAAAGAGTAGGGAGATGCCATGACGATCATAGGAATCCTTCATATAATTTTCCATTTTATTGTTGAATTTAATCCAGCCATAGTGTTCTAGGGATTTCATATCTAATAGTTTCACCAACATTTTTTATATTCTTTCTTCACTAATTTCATAGAAACTTTTAATCCAACTAAAATTCTGTAGTCTGTTCAGGCCATAAACCTAATCCATTATGAATTATAATATTGTTTGGCCAACAATTCCAAGCAAGTTTAGCCTTGTTCTGATATGATTCATGCAATTTAGAGAAAACTATTTCGATCCCCTTGGTATTATCCATCTTTTGTAATCAATCCAATTTATCATGAATATAGTTGATGCCGTGTTATCCTAAATCTCCCAGTACTGCTAGACATTTTACTACATTCCTGTTTACTTTACAAAGAATCTTTCCAAATCAATGCTCTTAAGTTTGCTTTTATTCACTGTACTTCCTGACAGTCATATACTAGATCCATAGTTAAGTTTCAATTGTTTGCGTCACACTAATACATATGATATGTGATAAGACTTGTTCTTATGTGAAAATTCTTTCGAGTCTACTTCAAAGATTTGATGACCATACTCAAGTACATTTGAAATATAGATTTTTATTCGTTTTACACAGAGATTTATGGAGTAATACAATAATACATATGAGAAATACCACCACCCCCAATAAAACATTGTTGATGTAAAATGGAGTAGAAGAAACTGTTTGATTTAAACCATCTATGTACTTGAAAATTGAGTCTTAGACCCAACAAGGAAGTAATACATGCATGTAATACAATGGTGTATTTTGTTTCAGCATCATCAGGATCATAAATTATGGTTTTAAAGAGGATCGTTTGGAAGACTCTTGGAATATGTCGTTATGTTATCCAGTGTGGCTGTATTGCACATTGTACATTGGAATATGTAGCTGACTTTGTCTTTGTGAGTATTGTTACCTTAGTGTGTCCAGAAGAAGAATGATTTGGATATGCTTGCAACAATTTTGTTTAGTTGGTATAAAAACAAAACATGGCGGTATACATATGCATGTAAATTTGCTTTTTGATTTTGTAGACATACTAACTGGCTGCTATTTTTGTCGCTAAAAGAACACCAAAACATTACACCATGTCGTCAATCATTTCTCAGGCATGTCCAAAAAGTTATGTTTGCCTGTACTTGGCAATGCATTGACAATTCAGACTTAACATATAGATTATGCACAATACATACTGTACAGTGTATGTTGATAGTTACAATTTCACAATCAAAATTTTATAAAGAGGTCTTTTGGGGTCAAAATATGTAACTTTTGGGCAAATATTAGGGTGAAAATGGTGTTTTTGCCTGTTCTCAGAAATACATTGATCAATTTCATTCAAATTTCACATATAGATAATACATTCTGGTACATAGATTGATAGACACAATTTCACAGTCAAAGTGTATCAAGAGTGTATTTTTGGGTCAAAAAGGTCATTTAATTCTTGAACATTTATTCATGGGCTTTGTCATTTATTTGGTGGCTTGTTTAACTATATTTTGGTTTGTAATGGATTTTTTATATGGTAAATATTAATTATTTATTTTACTGAATGGTAGATTTGAAAATAAAGCATTACTGCATATATTTAATATTAATTATTTTATTGATGCCAGTTTGACATATTATCATATTATGTAAATAATCCTCTTTCTATATGACATATAATAACGATACTTGTAGATTGGCTGAGGTAAATGAATGGAAAGCTGTTTTTGATACAGAACCATTAAATCCAGAAAAATTGTAAAAAATGCTGAGGCAGTTGGTGATCATTAGCTGAATAGCATCTGTTCATCAACTTGATGACTTCTAGTAAAAGAAACACCGAATCATTTTTGGTGTGTTGGTATTTTTATATTTTTTGATTCATAAAAAATTGGCAAGCATTGACATTTAGAACTATTCATTGTAATATAACAAGTGGAAATGGTCACAACTTTTACTGGACCACAAAATTTTCAGAATGTTTCTATTGTCAACACCTAAAATGAAGACATTTAAGGTCTAAATAAAAAAACCTCTGCATCACTATTCCCAACTCTATATAGCGCCCTCTATTGACGATTTGATTAAACCTGCTGAATTTGTTCACTGTCAAATTTTTTAGCAAAAAAATAACATTTAACCAGGAACACCTTTTTTTTGCAAGGCCTAATTAGTTGCTTTTTTATTTTTTGCAGTGTTTTGGGCCCTCAATGCAACCTACTATTCTTAGCAAGGATGTGGTATTCACAGAACATCTCTCAACTCGTTTTCAATGGATTCAAAAGTGAGTATGCATGTCAGACATCATCACAGAATACCTAATGTTGTAATACACATATAGCAATGATGTATTACTAATGATGTAATACATATATAGCTATGATGTATTACTAATGTTGTAATATACATATAGGTATGATGTATTACTGATGATGTAATACATATATAGTTATGATGTATTACTAATGTTGTAATATACATATAGGTATGATGTATTACTGATGATGAAATACACATATAGCAATGATGTATTACTGATGATGTAATAACATATAGCTACGATGTATTACTAATGTTGTAATATACATATAGGTATGATGTATTACTGATGATGTAATACACATATAGCAATGATGTATTACTGATGATGTAATACATATATAGCAATGATGTATTACTGATGATGTAATAACATATAGCTACGATGTATTACTAATGTTGTAATATACATATAGCTACGATGTATTACTGATGTTGTAATATACATATAGGTATGATGTATTACTGATGATGTAATACACATATAGCTACGATGTATTACTAATGTTGTAATATACATATAAGTATGATGTATTACTAATGATGTAATACACATATAGCTATGATGTATTACTAATGTTGTAATATACATATAGGTATGATGTATTACTGATGTTGTAATATACATATAGGTATGATGTATTACTGATGATGTAATACACATATAGCTACGATGTATTACTAATGTTGTAATATACATATAGCTATGATGTATTACTAATGTTGTAATATACATATAGGTATGATGTATTACTGATGATGTAATACACATATAGCAATGATGTATTACTAATGTTGTAATATACATATAGGTATGATGTATTACTGATGATGTAATAACATATAGCTACGATGTATTACTAATGTTGTAATATACATATAGGTATGATGTATTACTGATGATGTAATACACATATAGCAATGATGTATTACTGATGATGTAATACATATATAGTTATAATGTATTACTGATGATGTAATACACATATAGCAATAATGTATTACTGATGTGATACACAAAAGCAATGAAGTACTAATGTTGTAATACACATATATTTTACTGATGAAGTAATACACATATAGCGATGATGTAATATGTTAATAATATGTTAATAATCGGGGATATATTTTTATTAGTCCGTCTGTTCGTCCCTCCGGAGTCATATTTCAGAATCCTTTCGACCGATTCCGTTCATTCTTTGCATGTGCCTAGTAATTTATGTGGGACATATGCGCATGCAATGGTTTAGCAATTTGATTAAAAATGGCCGACTGGCAGCCATCTTGTTTTTTGAAAATGTTGTATTTTGGACATGCTTTGTCCATGGATTATACATGTTAGGATACATGTCCACGACAATTTCTTTCGCAATTGGATCAAAGATGGCCGACTGGCAGGCATCTTATGTGTTTTTGACTCCCATGTGCGAAGCACAAAATGGGAGTCTTTGCAGTTAGTGTGTCTGTATGTGTGTATGTGTGTATGTGTGTATGTGTGTATGTGTGTGTGTATGTGTGTCCGACTGTTCCACTGCTATCTCAAGAACCATACATCGCTTTTTGATGAAACTTGGTGCATAGATGCTCTGGGCCAATGCGCAGATTTGATTAGGTTTTGGTAAAAATCCATGCTCGTTAATTACCTAATTTGCATGATAATTAGCTATTTTTT